GTGTTCTATATATGTCTGTTATGTCTACTTGGTTTATAGTTGTTTAAGCCCTCTCTATCCTTATCGACTGTTTCTATACGTTTTATATCCATTATTGAAAGTGAGACAGTCTCCAACTATTTTTGTAGGACTATCTATATCTCCCTTTAATGCTATTAACGTTTGCTTCATATATTTTGGGAATCTGTTTGATATATATATATATATATATATATATGTGTGCGCTGCTGTTGGGAATCTGTTTGATATATATATATATATATATATATATATATTTTTTTTTTAAGTAGAGAGATGGGGTTTTACCATGTTGGCCAGGCTGTTGGGAATCTGTTTGATATATATATATATATATATATATATATATATATATTTTTTTTTTTTTTTAAGTAGAGATGGGGTTTCACCATGTTGGCCAGGCTGGTCTCAAACTCCTGACCTCAAGAGATCCGCCCACTTCCACCTCCCAAAGTGCTGCGATTACAGGCGTGGGCCACCGCACCCAGCCTGTATATATATTTATAATAATTATATACTCGGCTGGGCGCGGTGGCTCAAGCCTGTAATCCCAGCACTTTGGGAGGCCGAGACGGGCGGATCACGAGGTCAGGAGATCGAGACCATCCTGGCTAACACGGTGAAACCCTTTCTTTACTAAAAAATACAAAAAACTAGCCGGGCGAGGTGGCGGAGGCCTGTAGTCCCAGCTACTCGTGAGGCTGAGGCAGGAGAATGGCGTCAACCTGGAAGGCGGAGCTTGCAGTGAGCTGAGATCCGTCCACTGCACTCCAGCCTGGGCGACAGAGCGAGACTCCGTCTCAAAAAAAAAAAATAATAATAATAATAATTATATACTCTTACCGAATCAACCCTTTTGTTAATATATAGTGACTTTTGTTTGTTGTAAGTTTTTGACTTAAAGTCTGTTTTGTCTGATAGTAATATAACCACCACAACTCTCTTTTGGTTACTAATGAAATTTTTTCCCACCATTTTGCTTTAAATCTATTGTCTTTGGATCTAAAATAAATCTTTTGTAGACAGCATATAGTTAAATCATATTTTTTTTGCATCGTGCCAGTCTTTGCCTTTTGATTGGAGAGTTTAAACCATCTTCATTTAAAGTTATAGTTAATAAGAAATGACTTATTTCTGCCATTTTGCCATGTATTATCTATAGCTCTTGCTCCTCGTTTGCTTCATTATTGCCTTATTTTGTATTTAGTTTTTTAAAAAGTATGTATGTTTTTGGTAGTTAATCATTTTGACTTCCTTCTCCTTTCCTTTTGTGCATATTCGGTTGATATTTTCTTTCTTTTTTTTGGGGGGGGGACCGAGTGTTGCTCTTGTTGCCCAGGGTGGAGCAATGACACGATCTCGGCTCATTGCAACCTTCTGCTCCTGGGTTCCAGCGATTCTCCTGCCTCAGCCTCTCCAGTAGCTGGGATTACAGGCATGTGCACCACACTGGTTAATTTTTTTTTTTTTTTTTTTAGACGGAGTCTCGCTCTGTCGCCCAGGCTGGAGTGCAGTAGCACGATTTCTGCTCACTGCAAGCTCCGCCTCCCGGGTTCACGCCATTCTCCTGCCTCTGCCTCCAGAGTAGCTGGGACTACAGGCGCCCGCCACCACGCCCGGCTAGTTTTTTTGTATTTTTTTAGTAGAGACGGGGTTTCACCGTGTTAGCCAGGATGGTCTCGATCTCCTGACCTCGTGATCTTCCCGTCTCGGCCTCCCAAAGTGCTGGGATTACAGGCTTGAGCCACCGCGCCCGGCTTATGTTGCCATTGTCATATCATAATTAACATTACATTAAATAGCTCTGTACATAAGCCTTTTAGAATAGATTCACTGATATAGAACTAGTGGATCAAAGAGAGTGAACCTTTTCCTCTTCATTGTATTTCAATCTTTCTTATCTGTATGCCTCAAAAGATGACATATGTGATTTTACTTTAATTACCTGAAACATTAAAAAAAGATTAAAGAGAAACTCCTTCTTGACCACTGTACTTTTTTTTTTTTTTTTTTCTGAGACGGAGTCTCACTCTGCTGCCCAGGCTGGAGTGCAGTGGCCCGATCTCAGCTCACGGCAAGCTCCACCTCCTGGGTTCACGCCATTCTCCTGCCTCAGCCTCCAGAGTAGCCAGAACCACAGGCGCCTGTCACACGCCCGGCCAATTTTTTGTATTTTTAGTAGAGACGGGGTTTCATCGTGTTAGCCAGGATGGTCTCGATCTCCTGACCTCATGATCTGCCCTCCTCGGCTTCCCATAGCCATCACTATGTATATTATTAAACAGAACAAAAACTAATTTATCACTTCTGTCCATCAATATTCATATCATATAAATAAACCATAGTGTAATGGGAGGCCTAAATTCCAATAAGGACTCTAGTAGCCCTGCTAATAATTCATACCATGTCCTCAAGTGAATGCTATATTGTATTTCGGGATTTTTTAAAGTTATTTTTTTGAGATGGAGTCTCGCTCTGTCGCCCAGGCTGCATTGCAGTGGCAGGATCTCAGCTCAGGAGCCTTTTCTAATTTTAAGGGGGATAAATGGGATCAGTTGCAAGAGGCTGCAGATTTAGTATGGAACCAAAACAGTTTGATTATAGATTTGATAATTAACTCATTCTTAAACTCCAGAAATACTGTCTAACTACTGTATAATTGGAGAAGACAAACCAGCCATTAAAAAAATGGAACTTTGTGAACTAAGCCAAATATTTAATGGTGCACTTTGCTTATATTTGGTAGAGTGTGAGAGAATGAGTCAGGATGACTCATTAGGTTTAACAGGTTTCCGGACTGCGGGACAAAAGCTAAATGCCCATTATTTTCCACCCAAATTTCCCGGATTTTTTTTTTTTTTTCCTGGAAGGGGATTATTTATCTTCCCACATAATACCTGGTGGCGGCATATATTCACATTTTCATGGAGTTGAGTCTGAATTGTCTCCTGTTTCGGGGACTCCTTTCAACTCTGAGGACTAAGATGTAATACTTGAGCAAAGACCCTTTGATTATCTCCTGGGGATCTTCATGGCAGCTATCTGCAACTATCTTGAATTATGCAAACCTAGGGAAAGGGCTGAATAATACAATCCCATATCAAAATTATTTTTAAACTTTAAACATTTTAATACACTGTATTAAAGAATACTACACTACCCTTTTAGATCATTCTACCCCTAAATCACCACTGCTAAAGTACTATATTGCCATTTTAGAGAAAGAGAAAGCAGTGCTACCATTTTTTCAAAATTTGAGTTAGCATGTAGTATCAGAAAGGCACTAGTTACAGGATTTACCCATATCTCGACCTCACTCTACAACTATCATGGAGAAATGAACACAAGAAATGGAGCTGGGCACTTCCATAGAACATCAATTGAGGAATGAGCGGCACTGTGCTGTTGCTGTACCCAAACTAAAAGCTTACAGGTAGTGAGAAAAACCAAGCTGTGCAGTAAGTCTAATTCAGTTTGGACTTATCTCGCATGCTTAATGATCAGTGTAAAAGAACTGCATCCTTCAGCTTATAGTTAAGCAACCACAACCCCTTTCTCACAGACCTGTAATCTTTTTTTTTTTTTTTTTTTTTTTTTTTTTTTTTTTTTGAGACAGAGCCTTGCTCTGTCGCCCAGGCTGGAGTGCAGTGGCACAATCTCTGCTCACTGCAAGTTCCGCCTCCCGGGTTCACACCATTCTCCTGCCTCAGCCTCCCAAGTAGCTGGGACTACAGGTGCCCGCCACCATGCCCGGCTATTTTTTTTGTATTTTTAGTAGAGACGGGGTTTCACCGTGTTAGCCAGGATGGTCTCAATCTCCTGACCTCGCGATCCGCCCGCCTTGGCCTCCTAAAGTGCTGGGATTACAGGCATGAGCCACCGCGCTGGGCCACAGATCTGTAACGTTAAAACAAACAAAAAACTGCATTATAAATTCTGGACTTGGTGTTTTGTTAATCTTCCTCTCTCTATTAAATCCTTACAACTCTTCCTGGAGAGTAGGTATCACTATTCTTCCCATTCTTCAGATAAAGTTCAAAGATGCAGGAGACTGAACCCAAGGTTCGCTCGCAACTAGGGGTCGGAGAGAGGCACCTTTGAAACAATGCAGGCCTGCCACTTCTCTCATGGGCATAGTCTAACCCAGACATGAGTTCAAATAGTTCAGAGGGCAGTGAAGTGGGACAAATGCTTGGCTTAACTGCCAGCCTCTGATGCCCGGGGGCTGCGTGACTTTTGGCATTCGGCCAGCAGTGGCAGCCTCTCTAAAGGGAAGGTCATCCCGCCACCAGCCAGATGATCTGCAAGGGCTCTGCAGGCCCCACCATCCATGTGCGGCAGGGTCCACGTTCTGACCACCTGGCAAACCTGGTGCGATGGGGGAAAGCGAGCTGGGACCCTCCTTCACTCACGGCATGGTCATTTAAGTAGCCGGGCGGCCTGATTCGGTCCTTGTCTGCTTTTCAAGTTGCAAAATGTACGACCCTGGGCCCGCCCCTGCGGGCAGCTAGGTTTTGCAACCGCGCCGCCAGAGTCCACTGCGGGAGAACTGGGGAAGAAGTCCAGGCGTTCATGGCTCATTGCGTCCCGCTCTGCATCTGTGGTTCGTGGGGAGCGACCCCCGGGCAGCGTCCAAAGTGGAGTTCCCACACACGTTGCGAACCCACGGCCAGTTTTCTCTGAACCGGCGTCCTTGAGTCCGGGGGTGGAGGCGGAGAAAAGGGTGCGGGGCGAGTCAGAGCGACCACACGCAGGGCCGCAGCCCTCCCACCAGCGCGTCCTGCAGCGCCGGCCGCCACAGGCTGGGATCGCGGCTGCTGCCCCGCCCCCGTCCCTCCACCCCCTGCCCGGGACTGCGGGGCCGCCCCGCCCCACCTGCAGGTGAAGCGGCCGCAGCCGCCGAGTAGGTGCGTGGGGATGATCTCACTCGCGCGCTCCGCGCCAGGAGGAGGAGGAGCGGGAGCAGATCCAACTTCCGGGTAGTGGAGCCGCAAGCCACCGGCATCTTGCTTTTCCTTCCCCCTCCCCCTGTGTGCCCCGCGCCGCTCCTTCTTTCCCTTTTATTCCCGGCCCCACCCGCCAAAATGAACAGCTCGGACGAGGAGAAGCAGCTGCAGCTGATCACCAGTCTGAAGGAGCAAGGTAGGCAGCACGCGGGCGCCAGGTGTGGGCAGCCGCGGCCCGTGGGCGGGGACCGCTCCCGGGCGCTGGGGCCAGGGCAGGTGGAAGCCGGGCGGGAGACGTGGCGGCCGCCGTGGTCACCGCAGTAGCTCCGTCACCCGCGGAGAGGCGTCCTCCGTGGCCGGCGCGCCTAGGAAAGCCCTGGACCGAGGATAACGCGGAGTGTCGGGGCGAGTCAGGCCCCGCAGCGTGAGACGCGCTGCCCGCCGGTTGCGTTTGCTGGCGAAGGGGTCTGGGGGAAGGGACGAGGATTCAGTGCGGACGAGGTTGCACAGTGCCACCTTCCTTGCGGGAGAAGCGGGTGGGGCAGGATATTTTGGCTGCTTTGGGCGGCTCAGCTAGCTTGGCCCCACCCTTACGCATTTGTTGGCGCTGGGTGGCCTGTAGCGCTGTTTCACACCCTTCCCAGCTTTTCATTTGGGTTCGGTCTAGTTCCTCTTTCCTTGCCCAGCTGGGATTTTCAGGCCATAATTTTTTTTTTAATCACTTCTCAATTTTAGCAGTTTATTAGTCACCAAGGTCAGCATCCTGCCAGTGTTGAGCTTCCAGAATTAACAGGGTTGGCGCTGGGCGCAGGAGAGCCAGGCCATGTGCACACATTTCTGTACTGCTTGGTAACTGGGGATTATCCTTTAATAAAGAACTGCTTCAGCCAATTATTTTTTTCATCAGTTACCACACTTCTGAACCAAACCAGATCAACAACCAAATGCTAACCTACCACCTTTAAACAGTTATCATTTTTACCCTGACCAAAGGGTGGTCTGCGAATGTGGGTCAAGAAAGGGAGGGACCAGCCGGGCGCGGTGGCTCACGCCTGTTAATCTCAGCACTTTGGGAGGCCGAGGTGGGTGGATCACCTAAGGTCGGGAGTTGGAGACCAGCCTAACCAACATGGAGAAACCCCGTCTCTACTAAAAATACAAAATTAGCCGGGAGTGGTGGTGCATGCCTGTAATGCCAGCTACTCGGGAGGCTGAGGCAGGGGAATCGCCAGGAGGCGGAGGTTGCGGTGAGCCAAGATGGCGCCATTGCACTCCAGCCTGGGCAACAAGAGCAGAACTCCGTCTCCAAAAATAAAAATAAAAACAGAAAGGGAGGAACCAAACAGATTTAAAGGAAGTAAAAATGTGTAGGAACATGTACTTTTCTGAATGTCTTGCTGACATGACCATGTAATGGAAGGATCCCTGCCCTGTGGCAAAACCTGGTGTTTAGTTCCAGTTCTTTGACTTCTCTTGGCCCAGCTCACCGGCTCTGTGAACTTGGAGGAGTCTCTTCCCTTCCGTGGATCTTCTGGTCAGTCAAGGCTGACCTGACTAAAAGCGAGGGCAAAACTGGAGGACTTCCTGAGGTCCTGTCCAGTACTCTTACCTGTTGTTCCATAAAATCACAAACACCGTTGGGAAGTGCATCTGGATTCTTCTGAAGCCACACTCTGGCAAACAAATTTCAACATTACTGTTTACTGTATGACCTTGGGGAAAGTATTTAACCTCTGAAATGGACGTAACACATTCCTCTGTGATATCCAGCATCTAGAAAGTGCTGGATAAATGTTAGTCTCTTTCGCCTTCCCAGCACCTTTACCTGGCATCCTAGATTATCCTGAGGTGATAAAGTCACAAGCATCAGTGAATTTAGTGGGTGGACAGAATGCCTTTATCTGAAATTTCTCGAGTATTTTAGCGAGATACTGGATTCTACTGGTATTTTATATTTAATAACACCTTCCCCCAACCCATAACATTAAAACTTGATGCATATTTACATTCGTGGAGCTTTCAGAAATTTTAGGTAATATCTGTCAGTGGATATCAGCTCTTCTTATGGATGGTCAGTTTTCAAACAATGATAAAAACGAAAAATTTCCCCTTCATTTCTTATGTAATTCAACGGTAGATTAACAATGTAGATAATCTGCAAATTGTTTATATTTGATTTTGGAACACGTTCTCCATTCCTATGTTGGGTTTGAGACCTGAGAAAAAGGATTTCTAAATTTCTGGCTCTTTCTCCTATTGCATTGTATTGGAAAATAAACAAATCCTTGGCATTGGTATTGTTAGAGGATATATTTCCTTGATTAAGTGCATATCAAAGGTAATAGAACAGTTAGATATTCAAAGTTGTATTTCTTAAAAGGTACACTTTTGGGGATAGTGAGTCTAGTTACAAAGGTGTTGGGATTTTTTCAGCTTACAGTGTGGTTTTTATACATTTCAAAACCAGGTCGTTTGCTTGTCATTGGATCACAGACTGGAAACAATTTACTTACTCCAAATGTACTCAGTTACTGTTTGACCTGTAGAACTAACTGGGCAGCTAGGGATTTGGAAGAACAGACAACTGGGTCTTTGGGCATTTAACAGTGCATACTATGATCAATTTTGTAAGCTGATGGTTACATAGTTTGTTTTTGAAAATAGTAATTTTTACTACCTGTTACTACGTTTTTACTCACAATGTTAATATTTTGAGTGATAATTCCACTACCCCTATTTAATGTGAGCAAGAAGAACCGTTATTTATCAAATATTTTATTTTCCCTTAATAATGCTGAGTAAACATATTCATTCCTTTAACAAATACTTATCAAGTACTACCATATATGAGGTCCATGTGCTGGGCACTAGGAGTGTAAATAATGAACTAGACAGTCCTTGTCACCAAATTAATTGTCTAGAAGAGAAGACAGTTACTATTCAAGTTATATGAATAAATGTACAATTACTTTTTTTTTTCTTGGATAGATTTTTAGAAGAAATGGGATTGTTGGATTAGAGGGCATGGACATATACTTTTGCTAGACACTGCAAAAGTGCCCCCTAAAATGATTATACCACTTGAAATATCCTTCAGCAGCACCCATTTCCCCACACGTTGGTCAACTCTGGCTAATAGCAATCTTTATTAATTTGATAGCCTGATAAGTTTTTGAATTCTTGCCAATCTAATGGGCAGAATGTTACCTTTTAAGATTTGCATCGCTCTGGTTATTAGTGATGTTTGAAATCTTTTTACATCATATGGGTCCTTCCTTAGTGAGTTTTTTTTAAACTGATACATGAGACTTGTACATATTTAGAGAAGACATGGGGTATTTTGTTACGTGCTTAGAATGCATAATATCAAGTCAGGGTATTTGGGGTATCAATTGCCTCCAGTATTTATCATTTCTATGGGAACATTTCAAGTCCTCTCTTCTAACTCTTTTGAAATATACAATACATTGTTGTTAACTGTAGTCACCCTACTTTGCTATCAAATGTTAAAACTTACTCCTTGTATCTAACTGTATGTTTGTACCCATTAAACAATCTCTCTTAATTTCCCCCTGTGTTAGTAAGTTTTAAGTCTAAAATTTGAACCAGTTCCCCAGGAGAGTGTTCAGAAAGGAGATTCCTGTCTACTCTAAACCACAAAGCTGACAGCAGCCTTCCCTAATGTGAAGCCTTTAGTGGTGTGGTGAATAAGGTTGCTTTTGACAAAAGTTGTGAAATGTAATGACGGAGTCTGTCATAATATGAGCAATCTCTAATTTATACTTACCATTCCCTAGGCTCTATGTCTTATAAATCACACCCACTTCTGAATTACTTCAAAACATTTTATGTTCCCTCCTAGTGAATGGTATAATTAGCTATATTATGTCTTTCTAGAAAGTTATATTATGTCCCTTTAAAAAAAATTAGCCAGTATGTGATTGCTTATGTTCAAGCAGATGTTGAGGTAATGAGGTAATTCTCCTTTTGTCTTTTTTGGGGCTTTATTTTATTGGACTGATTGACATCTTTAATGCACGGAGAAATGGCAACTTTGGATACTATTTCCGAGGCATATTTCCTAGCTACTAAAGTGGATATTTCCCTTACAAAACATCATACAATTTGCTCCCCCTCCGGAATTCAGTGGGAAAATGATAGACTTAGTTCAGCATTTGTTTAAGGTGCATGATTTTCTGTGTAATTCATTCAGCCCACATGCATTGAATATTCATAGCCAGGCACTGTGCTAGGCATTGGAGAGACAGAGCTGAATAAGACCTTGCCCCTGCTGGTGAGGAATTTCTGGTCTAGAGATGGTGCTAGGCATGTAAATTCCAAGAAGAGTGTCTGATTGGCCTAGTTTGGCCAATCTCATGTATTCAAATACTTTGACCACGGGAGGGCAGGATACTTTAATTGGCAGCCCCTGCAAAGATTGGAGGAGTAGTCCAAAACAGAATGGGGTGCCACTACCAGGAGGATGCTGACTGGGCAGACACAGACAACACATGTCCGCTAAACTATTAAGTATAGTAATGCCATGCCGTTTCCAACTTGATGAAATTTTGAAGAGAGATGGCTATTTAATAATAAGGACATACTCACATAAGAGGAAAACAACCACCACCACCCCAGTAATGGGCAATTCTTAGGCTAGCAGTATTTAAAATGGATTTCCTATGGTGAGGTAATTGGTTTTAAAGCAATTTTAAACCTCCTTTCACCTTTAGAGTTAGTATTGTTTTCCCCAAGATTATTGAGATGATACTTACGGTTCACATGGAAATCTAGTCAAGCTTATTCTTATAGCACGTTAGTAATTAAAAGATGCATTTGGTAGTCCCTTGGCTTCTAGGCCAGGAAATAACTGGAGCATTATTTTGACAAAACAGTCTGAAACTATTGCCTACCACAATGACCATGTCAGTCTGGGAAAACGGAAGCATTGACAATCTTGGGTACATATGAGATCAGCCAGTAGAAAACTGTTTGGAATTAAATGTTGCCTTGTTTTCAAGTGCAAACTTGGTTTTACATCAGTATTTTTCAAAGTGTGGTACAAGGGCCAGCTGCATCTGAATCACCAGGTACTTATTAACAATGCATTTTCCTCCTAAAGTTAGGGAGCAGTTGCTGAAGAACAGCAGTTTGGCAACCACCCATGAGATGGACATGCAGCATGGGCTAAGGAAC